GTGTGTGTGTAGAGAGAGAAGTGCAACGTTGTACAAGAATAAATTGATCTAATTCCCAACCTTAAAAGTCAACTATTTCCTTACTTCGCTCGTGGGATTCACACACCCCAAACTTATTTTCTTTTCTATTTCCCATTGTGTAATCTAAGGTTACTCTTCAATACTAATCTCTTACACGGCTCGAGTTTGGTTAGCTTTTACTGATTGCATTTCCACATACCAACAAATGAGGATTTTCCTTACTTTTCTCTGCTTCAACCTCTAAGAATTAACCAAGTTACTAACATCTTGTCAAAATGTCAAATCCTCTAAAATGAGTGTTCGGTGTTTAAGCAAGGCAATTTTTTTTATCACCCCTTGTGTGGTCGTCCTTTCCTTAAACTTTTTATATGACCCCTTAGCGAGCTTTAGGCCGATAACTTTCAAATCAGATGACTTTAGGGTATCAGGTTTTAATCCCTTACAGGCTTAATCACTTAAGTTTAAAGGCTACGAATAGACGATTCACAATGAGATTATTTAAGCTGTTCTCAATGGGATATTTATTTTATTTTATTATTTTTATTTTTGCAATGCTTAATGCAATGCTGCTTATTAAACACGCATTCTCGAAAATCGACCTCTAACTTAAGGTTTTCACCCAATTGTCATCTTATTAGTCTCAGACAGCCTACGCAAAAATTGGCACACATGAAATCCACATTTATCTCCAAGTTTCTCCAGAACAATGCAATCTTCCAAACATCCTAGATTTGGTTTAAGGGTATACTGATGTTTAATGATCGTTTGGGTTTAACAATCTAAGTTCTCTAGTCCAACCTATAAACATGAATCTACCTATTCACGCACAACGCTACAATCAACTCATTTTCGTTTCACATGAATAAGTAAAAATTTGACTCGTACACTTAACTTGCCTACAATTCATAAACCAATGCATCTTCTCGATAATAAAAATCACTGTCGGCAAGGCTATCTAACTCACACAAGCATGCAGAACACGATTTTTTTTTAAAATTTTTTTTGAACCAATGCACACAAACTACACAAAATAAGAAATTAGGTAATTAGACAACTTATCATGAACTCCTCCCAAACTTAAATTGAACATTGTCCCCAATGTGAAATTAAAAGAAAATGAGGAGGACTTCCCTGAATTATCAGAATTGCTAACACGATCTGGTGCTCTGATGTTGAATTTGAGGGACGCTTCTTCTCGTTTTTCCTCCCAAATTTGAGATTTATCCAGCTTCTCCTTGTTAATGTTAGTTTGATTGTTCCGCGACGACATGTTCCTAAAAATTCAAAATGTAGATATTAAACTCATAGAACAAGTGTTATTTAACTCCAATATCAATAACAACTTGATTATTTAAAGACCTAAGGGGGACGGGGTAGGGTTGATAAATTCCTAAATAAAAACTTTGAAATAAAATAAACTATTCTATAATTTAAAAGAAATAAAACAAAATAAATGAAAAGGTAAGAACGCTTGGGTTGCCTCCCAAGAAACGCTTCTTTATAGTCACTAGCCTGACTCAACCGTAATGCCTACGGTGGATTCTCAGGTGACACATTTCTCTTGTTT